ACCAGTAGAAGGAGTTAGTTACTTCCTCCTTGCTCCTCATTACTCCTGCATGTCTGACGGAGTAACTGTGTCTGTCCTAGCTGACATTTCCTACTCCTATGCCAGGAGGATTTTTCCCCTCCTTTTCTACTGCTCGTTCACTCTAGCTTTGTAGTTGCATCCTCACTGTATCCACCTGCTGCCTGAAGGAGGCTTTCCTGAATTACCCTGAGAAGAGGGAAAGGAACTGGAACAGTTAGGGAAGCCCTGAAGTGTCTCAAACATAACTGCCTGTGCCTTGGGGTAGGGCTTTCTGTATTGTGCCTGCACGCACAAGGCTGTGCACTGTTCTTCTTCTTGTTTGCTGTGTTATGTTTAGAAGAAAGCTGCTCTGGATCCCAGAACCATTGTGTAGGTCCCTTGGCTAAGGAGAAGCTGGGAAGGGAGAAACTGGAAGGAATGACTGAGTGTAGGTTGAGTTGCAGGTTGTGCAAGCGTTGTGTTTCTGCCTTACATTCAAAACCTTATTTTTCTGACCAGAAAGTCTTCATTTCTCCATATCCTGGATGGAGCAAAGCTACATTTGTTACCCATCTCTGAACAAGTGAGATCTTTATGGGAAACTGATTAATTCAGGACATTCTTCCCACAGGGACAGCTAATCTGTGCAGGCAGCAGGGTGGTCTGGGATGGGTCTGTCATCCAGCCTGGGCTGTAGATTTGAGGCATACACTATGCATTTACCATTGCATCATGGTATTATTCATACAAGGCATTAATCCTCCTCAATGTATCATTATGCACAGTCTGCTGAGCTCCCAAAACATAATTACCTCTCTATGGGGCTGGGTTATGCTCACAGGCTGAGCCAGGGCATGACTCTCCCTTTCAAGGCCTGAGTGCCCCATATTCTGCCAAGATTTTGTTTTTTTCTTCTGTTTCTTCTTGACAGGTAAACAGGGGAGTGAAAAATGAACATTTTCCTGACACAGGCACCAGCTGTACATCAGCTGGTGTAGATCTGAATAATATGATCTTCTGCCCCTTACAGGCTGAATAAGCTGCAAAAAATGTGCCATGGTTTGAAATGTGAAAGAAAAGATACCCCCATAGATTTCACTGGCCTCATTGAGCTGAGAAACGGGGCTTGGGCTTTTCCAGGGACCTCAGACAGCTTCACTTTCCAGATTATGGGATATAGAGTACCGGCTGCAGGGACAAAGAACATTATAAAAGTCTGTCGTTAAAATCTCACGGGGGCAATAAAAGGTTTCTGAGAAAGAACAGGGACTCTCATTGGATGCTTCATTGTAACTTTCTCCCTCCTGCTGCTTATCTCTGCTCCTGAACTCTCCCTATGCTACTTAGCTACCAAAGGAGGGGGATCTGTCAAGTTTCCAAACAGACACAGGTAATTCTGAAGGGTTTTTTTCTTCAATATCTTCTAATAATTTGTCCCCCTGTGCACACACCATTCTTGGTTGTGAGCCAGGAAAATCCTGAGCGTTTCCAGGGAGATTTGAGCTCTGCCGAGTGCCGTATATTACAGTAGGCTCAAAGAGAATAAATCAAATATTTTTTATGGAATAGTTTAGATACAGGAACAGGCAAATTGCCACACTAACATATACCCTGTCTCCAAGGGGAGGCAAGTAAAATACTCATCCTTTGATGATCCTTCTATCCTACATCATGATGAAAACCTTCCAGCCAAGAAAATCTGCGTGGTGCTGGGTCTTGGCTTCCCACCCCTGCTTCTCCTCAGCATGGACGAGCAGGCAGTGCTGAATGCATCCACTGCTGTCTTGAGGTCATCTGCCCTGAGCAGAGTAGCCAAGTGGCTTGCCAGCTGCTTGACTGCTTTGGAGATGCAGATTTGTAATACCATTAGCCTTAGAAAAGAGACAGAGGACACGCTGGGTAGGGCTGAGCTGAGGAAGGCATCTACTTCTTGTTACTCAGTTTGATTACTCAAGATGATGCAGAGAGCCTCACTTGCTTTAGGGGAGCCAACTGCTTTGGCAATAATTAGGGCATGAGTTTTTACCCCTCTGCGAAACTGTTGTAGATCACCAGCTTCTTAACACAAAATTGGACCTTTGCATTTCACTTAGCCTGGGATACAAATGATGCCTGCAAATTAAAAAAACCCAACTTCATGCTTTAGATTCTTGGTTTTTCTTTTTTCTTTGTCTTACCATATTACAAGCTTTATGGTGAAAGATCCATTTTGGTAGTCAAGGTGTGACTTCCTTACACAACTGAATCTCTAAATATGGAAGCATTTCACTGCCATTTTCAAGCTTAACAATTAAAAGAATGATTAATTCCACAAGAAAAAAAAACCAACCAAAATCGTGGTTGATCCTCAGGGAGCTATACGCAGCTGGTAAAATGGCAAAACCTGCAAACTCAGCTGGCAAAAACCTCAAAATGGCTTAATACCAAATGCATCAACTCCTCCGTGCTATTTTTAACATAACCAATAAAACTTTGATGTGCTGTTACATGCTTCAGCCACAGCGTAAAATCTGTCATCGCACATTTTTTATTACTGGGTGTCTGGCCTATCCCTTCCATTGGATTGATGAGGAATCTTTTTTTCCTGCTTCTGCTCTCGACAGAACTAAACAAATGCAGATCAATTAAAAGGGCAGCAAGAGGCCTCTCTGTGTTCCTGAGCCTCTGCCTGCGTGGCAGGTAGATGTCCTGCTCAGGCCAGCTTGGTAGGAAGGTTCCCTTTGCTAGTGCAGAAGAGGTGTAATGAATTCTCTTGATATTTTACCGTGACCATAGGTGCGTAAGAAACCCACATAATTCATCTCTACTGCTCTGAGACAAGATTCCCCAGAAGGTGATAAACTCAGCAGAAGACGAGCTATGGGTGGTTCTGAGGCTGCTGGCTCTCCCAGTGGAGTGATTCTGCTGTCTTATGTACCTGCATACTCCACACCACACAGCAGACAAGCCTGATCTTCAAGGTCTCCTCACACGAGTCATCATGGATGTGGTATTCTGGCCTTGAATAATTCTCCTCCTGGGACCAGCATTCCTTCAACCTCTCCTCTTCCTCCAGGCAACCACAGTCAAACTACAGGCAAGGCAATTTTCTGCTGCTACATTCTGTATAAGGCTGTGTATAAAGACTGTGGCTAAAATGAAATAGCACTTGAAATGGAAAATTTTCAGGTCTCATTTTTTTGAAAGTTTACAAAGCTCCAACCTTAAAAAACTCCTTTTTGGTTATTGCTCCAGAAATATCTTTTAAGGAACCCTGACAGCTTTCAGAAACAAAAGAGCCTTCCAAGAGAATTTTAAAGAGTTTTTCGAAAACACTTTTGCCTTTGTATTTGAGAGAGGCTTTGGCAGCACTGTAAAACAGCAGTGCTTCTCTTTTGCTCCCTTTTCTCTTTGTCAATCATTTGAATTTACACTGCAGTTAGAGTTTGTCACATAAAGTACCAGAGACATTAAAATAATTCTTTCTAAACTTGTAATTTTTGTATGGAAAATCTTGCTGTGAGGCCATATGAAGTTGAATCAAACTAATGAATAACTTGGAGAATGACAAAACTCTGAATGTAAACATGTTAAAGAGCAAGCACTTTCTCTTCCTTCTAACAACAGATTTTTTGTTCCTCTACTAAAAATAATACAACTGATAGGCATTGCTGAAAGAAACTGCCAATAAGGTAACTGCACCTTTTTTTTAAAAAATATAAATGGATTTTTGCTGCAAAGAATTTGGTTGAAATTCCCATGTGAAAGCAAGAGCAGAATTTCTGATTGACTTCTGTTTGAAGACAACACAAATGAGAAGAAACTCCAGCAATTCATTAGTAAGGATGCACCAGGGTCAGTGTTATGTGTGCAAGAGGAAGCCAGAAGAGGTGATTCAAGCAATCAACTGCACTCAGTAATGCAAGGGATGTATTAGTAATATGCATGTATTGAACTAAAAGCCTGTCTTACAGTCCAGTAAGAAAAACATACTTCTTCCAGAAGCAAGTCAGTCCTTTGTTCTTTGATTTCCTGCCTGCAAGTGTGGAATATTTCTGTATCAAATCTATAGAAAACAGAAGTATAGTTCAGCTAGCCAAGCACATCTCTAATGTAATTTCATATCTATCACAAAGCAAAGCAAAACTTTCTTCCTTTGTTCAGCTGTACAGCCTTTATTAAGTGTATGTTTAGCAGCACTTTAAAGTTGTTTACCACATAAAATATTTTATGGAGCTCCTGACAGCATGAACAGTAGGTGAACTGGGTCTGTAAACCATAGGCATTTAAGTGATTGCTTGGAAAATGTAGTAACTATGAATGCACATCCTGACACCACTGAACACATTAATAATTATATTTTAATGTTTACATATATTCTCACAATTTTTAACAGTGTTTTGGGTTAGTGTATTGGTTTATTGAAAATACAGCTTCTATGCCTAATTAATAAAACACATTTAAAATATTTTTCACGTTCTGTTCGTGACTAATAAGACAAAATTAGAATATCACACCAAAAATGTGTATAGCCAAACAAAACCATATTGAGGTTAGCTTAACCAAAGTTTCCTTTACTGCATACCCACAGTAAGAAAACTGTAAATGTATTCAGACAGACACATAGGAGCTGGGTTTCATCTGCTTACAGGTAGATGCTTATACATATGCTAACAGTTTATACTCCCATTTTGTAAATGGAAAGAAAAGAACATTTCTAGGATGTGATTAGTCCTTTTTAAAAGTAGACATCTAAAAAATCTCAGATTGATTTCATCCTAGTAATGCTTATTTCTGTGACTTAACAGAAGGGGGAATTTAGTTCAAATGTAAATATTGGTTATGTAAGGTGGTTCTTACCCTTTAAAATCTTGCCTGTTGCCTCCCTTGAAGTCAATGGCAAAAATTCTGTCCATTTTACTAAGCCAGCATTTTACCCAAAATTAATAAATCAACATTAGTAAACCCTTAATGCCTACTAATTTTTCCTACTACTCACCTTAACTGAAGGAAAAATATACCTTATATTTTCTCTAAATAATTTTTCAGAATCAATGCATGTATTCTCATTCTCTCTCTCTCAGGAATCTACATTTTGGAGTTCTTCAGGAGATATTTATTGAATCCAGATGACTTTCTGCTACCATGCTTAAAGAATACCGAAACCGGGAATGCAGGTGCACATCAATTGTCTTGGGCAGGGGGAAATAAGATTTGCAAAAAGCAGTGGTGTAGTTCTAGCATCTCCACTAAAGCCCATACTCGTGTGTCAGTTACTGTTAGTTTATTAGGTATAGAATCATAGAATCATAGAATCGTTAGGGTTGGAAAGGACCTTAAGATCATCTAGTTCCAACCCCCTTCTGTGGGCAGGGACACCTTACACTAAATTGTATCACCCAAGGCCTCGTCCAACCTGGCCTTGAACAGCACCAGGGATGGAGCATTCACAACCTCCAGATATCTGAAGAAAGTATTACAATGCAGGACTAAATGTAGATTTTCTGTGACATTAGGTCTGGACCCCAGACCAAGATGTGTAGGACGGCTTGGGTCCTCACTTCTCTAGAGCAGGCTGGCCTTATTCAACTGTCTCACTATAAAGCATTCCACCCTCCTCCTCCAAGACTTTTACTTCCCATCAGCATAAATATTACTTCTAGGGGTTCTTTCGACTACTAACATGAGGAATGCGTTGCAGCCCAACAGACAAGTAGGTTTTGGCATGAACCTGAATTGCATACCCGGACATGGCTGAGATAGATAGCCAGATGCAGAGCAGTCTCAGCCATAATGCGTGTCAGGAGGCGTTCAAGAAAGGAGCTATTCCCAGAACCGTATCAGGGTTTGTTTTGGACATAGATTCAAATAAGAGAGTGGAAATGAATTAACTTCCCTGCAATGTGAGCAATCATAAGACCAGAACCCAGAATTAAACTGAAATGAGACCTTTTGACAGCATAGAATCACCACTAGTTTTGGCATTCCTGTTATGTGAAGTTATTTTTTAGTGTGTTACTTATTTTTTGCTAGCTTGGGCTTTTACCTTACAGGCAGCTGACATGGGTATCTTTTAGAAGGTCTGACCAATGTAGGTGCTGATTAGTGGCTGTTATGTTACAAGGACTTCTGCTAGAGGAGCTGACAAAATAAGCAGGAATCTTAGTGGAGGCCCTAAATACTATCACCATGTTACAGTCAGTATAGTTGAAACACGGCAAACACAACTTGTTTTAATGTGTAGGTGCTACACAGGACCCTCTTTTCTCAGATGAATTTTCACACTGTGCAAAGCATTGAGATAACACAATAGATAGAGAAAAATATTGGTCTTCATTTGTCTTCTTAATTACTCCTATAATGAAAGGTATGCCACTGCCTCCTTCTCTCTACTGGCTATACAAACTGCCTACAATGATCAGTTTGCACGTAAATGTCTACACTGTTGGCATCTTTATTAAATAGAATGAATCCAACACCTTGTTTTCCTTTCCAGGTCATGCTTAAAATTTGTGGTTTATTTTTATATTTTGCTTATACAACACCACTTCTTAATAGCATCCTGCGTTAATTTGCTGATGGATGGACACCATTCCCTCTGTGTGCTGTGTGATTGTGAAACTGCACAGTGGACGCTGAAGATCAGAAGGGAGATCTGCAGGTAAGCTGAAGAAATCCGCAGCAGTGCACAGCATGGAGATAGGTTGTTTTTTCTCATGCAGCTCTTGAAGCTGCAGTAATACCTAAAGTAAGGTACTTTAAAATAAGTTAATTTTAAATATTCACTTTAAATAAGTGAATTTGGGTTTGTTTGGTGTTTGGTTTTGTTTTGTTTTTCTTTTTGTTTTTTGGTGTTTTTTTTCTCAGGTAGAAATGTGGAATGAAATCAAAGCTTGTGTTGTGGTAAAACCATTTTACAAAAAAACCTCAAACCACCTTATAAGCACTTTCTTTGGAAGAAAACCAGGGTGCTCCAATAAAACATTACCATGCCAATGTGATCACCACTGTCGTACACCTGTGTTTGGCTGTGCACATTGCGAATTTTTCAGGTAGCCTTTTGGATTGTCTGGGGTGGCTTGGCCACATTGGAAAATACTACAGGGTCACTGGTGATCAGCTAGAATAGCAGAGAAAAAAGAGAAGCCCAGCCCAAATGCCCTGTGTTTCTGCAGGGTTTGTTCATTTCCTTTCAGAACCCTACTAAAAAGAAAATAACGTAGGGAGGGATGATACCTTTTGTTAAATAGATAGATATATGTATCTCAGTTTTGTCTGGTTTTAAGTCACAGCATCCTTGCTGTGTATGCCAAATTTCAGTGTCCTTATTGCAGGAGAAATAATTGCTCTTATGGAAATAACCTTTTTCCCAACAAACCTTACCTCACTTATCACTTTAGACCATCACTAATCAGCAACAGGTAAGAGCAAGCATCATTTAGCAAGAATGCTTTTTCAAACAACCTCACGCTCGATATTAGCAGCTTTACCTACTCCAGCTGTGAGAAATCTGAAACATTATCTCTAAGGAGCCCACTGGGTACTGGGAACAGGCAGTGGTGAGCTGGTTGCTGATCCTCCTGCTTCCAGTGCAGAGACTGAAAACTTTTCTTAGAGAAGCAAAGTGAACAAATCGCCAGGAGAGTAAGACACAAAAGACATCACCAAGATAGTAGAATTTGAGAGCATTCCAGTATGTAGAATTACTGTTGCCATTAATCAGAACTCATTGCTGTTATTATCACAGGGCTTAAAATGGATCCCTGAACTATGTCCCATTAAATGATTTTTCTGATTAAGGGCATCCCAATTAAGCAGAGTGCACTGTATGGTACTTGAAAAAAGGCACTTTTTATGTACAAATCGAAAACAAATAGAGTACTTACCAGATCCCCATTTAGGAACCTTTTGCTGACATCATAATATTCTCTTATTAGCACTTTGTGGTGATTATAGAAGAGAAAAAGGGAATCATCTTATCGGGATAATAAAGACGAGGCAAAGGGGATTGTGGTTTTATTTCTCCTGTCACCTGCCATGGAAAGAGATAATTTGTAAGGAGTCAATATTCCAGGAGCCCTGGGTAGCTCTTTCAGCTGATGAAGCAAAGAATGAAATCACTAGATAATCACTCAGAGAAATGAGCTCATGGTGCAGAACACTAGAATTTTTACTTTCAATTCTTCAGTTTTATGCACTTAGTAAAACTTTATCAGAACCTTGCAAGTAAGTTGAAGACTCAAATGTTTGTCATAGCTTTATATGGTTTTCTTTTGGTTTGTGATAGCTTTATATTTTTTGTCCATGCCCATGGCAGGGGGGGTTAGAATTAGATGATCCCTAAGGTCTTTTCCAGCCCAAACCTTTCTATGATTCTATGGCTTTTCTAGCAGGTGCTTTTTAAATGACTGCAACAGCTAACCTGCTAGTATTTTCACAATGCATTCATAATATCTATAATGGGAGGTAATAAGCTTTTCTCCTAAAAAAAGGTGTAAATAATGCATAGTATCAGTCTGCATGCAAAGAATGGGAACAAGAAACACATTATTTCCCAGAATTTTTTTTTTTGGTGACGTCTTTAGGATTTTACAAGAAGCTATTTACAGGAGCTTAACAGCTTTGTGTAATGAGTGTGAAATTTACTTACCTTTTTGAATACAGTTTCAGCTGGGTACTTTACCACTTAATTTATTTACCAAAAGAAAGTCCCAGAGACATTGATCTGTGGTTAATTATGTCAATGAAAAAATAATTAGAATGGAAGTTGCCCAACTTCCTAAGCCTCTACATGTATCCTGTACCGATCACCATGCAAAGTATTATTTAATTCTTCAAACTTTTGTATTGTTGGGTAACCTCTAATGTTGATGTTTTGTTGTGGTTTTCTTCAGGGAAATCATGTAACAGACATTTTGCTGGTTAATCTTGGCTGTAGTCCATAGTTCTGGAAAGACAGCAGTGCTACAGTTCTGTACAGATGTATCAGTGTGAGCTTTTGACATAGACTAAATCAAATCCAATATATAACTTAGAATCATAGAATCATAGAATAGTTAGGGTTGGAAAGGACCTTAAGATCATCTAGTTCCAACCCACCTGCCATGGGCAGGGACACCTCACACTAAACCATGCCACCCAAGGCTCTGTCCAACCTGGCCTTGAACACAGCCAGGGATGGAGCATTCACAACCTCCCTGGGCAACCTGCTCCAGGGCCTCACCACCCTCACAGTAAAGAATTTCTTCCTTATAGCCAATCTAAACTTCCCCTGTTTAAGTTTGAACCCGATACCCCTTGTCCTATCACTACAGTCCCTAATTAATAGTCCATCTCAAGCATCCCTATAGCCTAATTTATAAATACTGTATGAATTCTAGTAAGCAGATTTTTTTCTGGAAAGTGCTGGCTTGGGGTCTGTCTGAGCAAGACACAATGTTCCTTTATCTAAGTGTTTGAAAGCTTTTATGAAGCAGAAATGCAGTACACGACTGGCCTTTGGTGTTTTCTAGTTGGAGAATATCTGCACACATGCAAAATCTAGAGTTTCAGCAAATCATCTGGAAGCTGCTGATGCATGTGTTTTCAAAAGTGACAAACTGAACACATGGCTGTATTTGGGCTCTTGGAGTGATTCTTATCTTCATGGGAAAAAGGAGCCCCTCAGTTTTTCACCCTGAGCTAGATTCTGCTGTCTTGTCCTAATCAAAAGACAGAAACAAATAGAGTGATATTCTTCAGTCCTTCATTCAGCCATTTCTTTAGCTGCCCTATCATATTGCAAACCACTGCTGTCTAATCACTGACTACCTTAGAAGAGAAGAGCTTTGCACAGCTTAGAACTGAGTCCACCAAAAACTTTTAAAATGTCAAAAATTTCGAATATCACCTATTGGAACTTACGATTGCAGGTCAAGTTTGTGCTTCAAAATCATTCCTTGTTTATACCTTTGCATTCCAGTGACTTCGGGAGATATTTTATGGGTAAGGAAATGTGAGCAGAATTTGTAACAAGAAGCAGAAATTTACAAA